TGATATTTTAAGATTTAATTTATATTTTGTGTTGAATGAGTGTTCTCGCGAATGTACGATGTTGGGACTTTAAAATACCCAGTTGATATATCATGTTGACGTATCAGAGGCGAGCGTCGCCCGCGCCGCACCACGTGTTCGGCGCGAGATGGCACACGTGGGCCGTGTCATCTGGCCAGTCGGCCCGCCCTGCGCGTCGCTCCAGGGTTGGCCTGTGCCGCCCCCGAGGTTGATTCCCCGCCGGCCCGCGTGCGCCCCTCTGCGCCCGAGGACGGCGTCTGCCTCGGGATCGCCATCTGCGGCGGCACCAGAATCGTCCTCGTACGTAGCGCCTCTTTGCGCCCGCTGGCGCCACTCACGGCCCAGCGGCTGTTAACGTTTTTATTTTAAATTAAAGCAACTGGCAGCTGTACAATGCCTCCGATCATCCAACATGCATGTTTTATATACAAAATCATATATTTCTACGAAAATAATGTATACATCATATATCGTATTAAAAAACAATGACTATAGCACCAAGAAATATATATTATAACGTAAAATGTGTATGTCGCATATCATATTAAGAAAGAACAACGAGTATAGTGCCAACAAATATGACATAAGTAAAAAACTGATTACAAGTCTCCCATATCGATGTACCGAAACAAATATATAAGTACTATTCTTTAATACAACCAAATAAATTGTCAACTCTATTCAGAAGTTGTTTTTCTTATTCAAACAACCCTTGCTATGATCATCGTGCCATGTTCCTGCATAGAAAGATCATAATATACGTCAAAATTTTGTAAAGAATAAACTAAACAAGAAAAGAACGTTAATAAAAAGGTGTGCACATACTTAGGATTCTGAGGAGAATTGTTTTTTAAATGACCTTTTATTCTGCATAAACCGCATAGGCGTACAGGAGGTTTCTCATCAAAACCTTTAGGTCTATCGTTTGTAGTCATGCCAGGTTCCTTACCACGGCCTTTGTTATTCTGCCCTTTCGGTGCTCCTTTCGTATTGATTTTCTCTGGATCACCAACAAAAACATGATCTTGATCCGGCACAAAAGCATCGTCATGTGCAACCCTATGTTGTCTCACATAATCTTCCTCCTCAACGTCCTTGTTTGCTATCACATCCTCCAGAGCAGCCTCCAGTTTATCAAATAGGAATGGTCTATGACATGCCGTATGATTTGCTTCCACAGACAAAATAGTCAACTCATTGTACTTAGTTCTCTCCTCAGTACATGTCCATCCCCATGCGAAGAGATCGCTAGTGCGTTTCACGGGCAGTCCACCTCTAGCATTCTTAGTGAACCTTCGCGGCACTAAGCACTTAGGTAAGTCCTTCACGTTCAACCTGGCTAAAACATAAACAACATGCTTGCATTGAAGATCTTTACGTTTCATACTATCACAACTACACTTAAATGTTTCTTCTGAATTAGTAGGTGTATAGTCCACTTTGAATCTCATTTGCCTGCTATTTTTCCATGCCATTATGAATCTCCTACTGACGGCTCCACTGAGTATATCTATGATCTCAAGATCCACTTCCTTCTTCATTTCTTTCTGCAAGAGATAAAAGTTCACCACAGTGAAGTCACGGGCAGCGGCTTTTTCAATGCATTTGAACTCGTCGAGTACTGGTACACGGAGTGTCTGTGTGGACATGCAGTCGTCGTGTGACTCGTTCTCACGGAGCCGAATAATGCAGTTCTCATAATGCACAACCATATCAACAATTGTCATGCCAGAGTCAAGATGCATATGAAGGCAAGAGTTCAGACTCTCGCTCCTCTGGTTACTCCGCATACCAAGGAAGAACCCACCGGTGAGATATGACGCAGCCCAAAGCCTTTTCTTCATGTACATCCTACGCAACCATGTTTCAGTTTTCTCTGACTCCCATTTAGCTCTAAAAGCTGCCCATCTCGCCTCAAACTCATCATGTGTAGTAGCATAGTAAATAAGAGACCTGAACTCCTTAAGGGACTTGTGGTGGAGGTGTTTTAGCATGTTTTTCTCTATATGCCACGAACAAAGTCGATGCCACACGTCAGTAAGGACCTTCCTGACATCCCTTATCATGGTTGTGTCTCCGTCTGTAATTACAGACCTCGGTTTCTTCTGACAATGAGCTCTCAAGAAGGTCTGCAACACCCAAACATATGTATCCTCTGTCTCATCTGACACAACAGCACAACCGAACACAGTGTTGCAACGATGATTGTTTAGACCAACAAAAGGTATGAATGGCATTTCATACCTATTCATCTTGTAAGTGATGTCGAAGACGATTACATCACCAAAGTCAAGGCAGGGGCGGATCTAGAGGGTGGACAGGGTGGGCCATGGCCCATCCTGGGATTTTGGATCAACCCATACCACAGGAGGTAAAACTGTGAATAAAATAAAAGCCCAATACTGTCTATTAACCAGGACGTTCAACACCGCACTGTGTCCGCCTATTTTCCGACCAGAAAGACACTCTACTCGTCCGCGGATTCTTCGTGACTTTGCTTACCAAAGGGGCGACTACAACTTTTACTAGAGTGAGTACCTACAACTTTTTTTAGACAAAGTACCTACAGCTTTTGCTACCCTCTCGTGGACTCTCAAGCCCAATTACAACCGCTGGTTTTGCTAAATCTCTTTGTCACATTGATGCCATATTACCATTGTTATTTGAAAGCAGTTTACTTTTCATTGTTTGCACAAGAATATTTCTACAAGGAAAGGATAACAGTGCCATGCCTTCTTTTGAAAAACATTGTTCTTGTTACATAATACTGCTAGATATTACATTGGACAATTTTTTTCTCTTTATTTTAAACACACAAGTTTGGATCATGGATCTTCGCTGGTGTGTCAAATTAGTGGTCAATTTTTTTTACGGTGGACCACCCTGCTTCAAAATTCTAGATCCGCCACTGAGTCAAGGTAATCCCGAGGTGACTGAGAATCACACCTGAACATGTTCTTCAGCTTGCCTTCTGCATCAACAGTGTGCTCAAAGAAAAAGTCTGGATCTCGTGCCTTTCTCGTCATCATGATACCAATCGCAGTGTCCGCATCACCCTTTGCTAGCAACTTTATTTTCTTCCTATAACACATGTTATAAAGCTTCCTCCTCCCGAAACCAGCCCATGCATATGATCCATACCTACGAACGAAGTTGTCATAAATCCAATTTTTTTAGCCCAGCACCTGCCATTGCTAAGATCTCGAGCTTCTGGTATTCCTTTATCTGATCATGAGATCGAAAATATATAACTTCATCCGGTCCGGCAAGAGTGTGACTATGATCATCGCTGAAACTACTGACATGCCAAATGGAGCGCTCTCTGTCAAACTTCACAGTTAGATGGGACTCGCAATAGCACCGAGTCTCCGCTCTCAGCCTGCGCTTCTTCCCTTTCATGGTACAAAACTTGGCCTGTCGTTTCCCAGCCCTTGAACACAGAAACCTCCTCAACCGCCTACGTGCGTCGATGTCCTTTGCATATTTCAAGTTGTCCTTCCTAATGATGAATCCACGCTTTTTCGCATAATCGTTATAGAAATCATATGCCTCCTCGTCTGTCCTAAATGTCATGGACATCACCGTCCAATGCTTGTCCAGTGATTCTTGTTGGTATTCATCGTACTCAGTGTCAAAATTGCACTCATCACCATCAGCATCATTATCGTTTTCGCACGCGCCACCAACCTCTCCCTCGAAAAAAATACAAACAACCTTATATGTCAGTAAGTAGTTGTATAAGGACTATCATATGTATTCACTTTCCACTACTTACTTTGCTCGAGCTATCATTATAAGATGCATCGATATCGTTTTCGTCATTGGCATCATCCAAAAAATTCCACTCATAGTACCCTTCCACTTCCATCTGTGCAAATTGTAAATATGATATGTAAGATTTGATGTGTTTTTCATGTCACTTTAAAATAACCTACAATACATAAATCCAAACCTACATGGCTTCAGCTTTCAGCATATGAATCATCTACATCCATATCCTCATTGTCATCATCCCCTCCTATGTGTGCAAAGTCAAACATGTTATTGTCATCGCGGATGCTTCTATTTAATATGGTTGACAACATGCAGACCACTTACATTGCTACTGTAAGACTCATCCAAACTCATATAATTTTCACCATCATGTTCCCCTTCATCCAATGACAATGATCCGTCCTCGCTACCGCCATCATCGCCGTCATATCCTATTTCAGCCTCAATCTATACACGTTCATATATAATCAAAGATCCATTCAAACATCACGTAACATCTTCGTAATTAAAATCCGTTTTTAAATCACCATGCCAGCGCCTCGCGTACCTCGTTGCCTTCATCAGACATGAGAATAGTGTTGGGATTCGCCGGAGACTCGACGGCGAACAGCTACGAGCTGACGGCGACGGAGGCGTCTGCCCGACCAAGGCGGTTGTCGGCGTCTAGTCACACACAACGCGAGGGCGAACAGCACGCCGAGCTGACGACGGCGCCGCCATCTGCCCCACCTAGGCGGTTGTCGGCGTCCGGTAGCGCACAACGCGTAGGTTTTTTTTTCGTCGGCCAGGTACTGCCGGAGATGGCGGCGGCAAGAGAGGCGGCGGCTGAGGCGACGTGAAAATAGGGTTCGCCCGGTCAGTTTTTTTTTAATCACTCGGGCGTACGCAGTGGGGCGGGCGTGCATGCGGGCGTGCGCGCGGGTATTTTAATACGGCGTGTGAAATGACCGCCTACCCTTTATACGTTGGGGGGTGTGTGTGTGTGTGTTGTACCGAAGCGCACCTCTTGGAGTACTACAAAGCAACGAGTTTACTGATCCGTAACGAAGAGTTCATTTCAACTTCAATCTTGAGGCAACACAGACTAAACTAGCATCAGGTATTTGACGATCTACTCAGGCAAAAAGCACTACAAAATGTCAAGATCGTGATGTCCAAAGCACCACGGAACGAATCGCAACATCATCTCAACAAACCAAAAACTCTCACGCTGAAGCCAGAGATTCTTCCGCCGCGAGCATATCCAAGAGCATTCCATGAGCAGTACCACCAGCAGCATCAACGGCGACCGCACCGGCGCCACCAACAGCAGCAATGTCGGCGCCCGGCGAGCCGCGGCTGTGGAGCCACCACAGCAGGTTGGTCAGCGTGTTGCCGTCGTCGTGCGACGCCAGCGCCCTCGTCTTGGCCAGCGCCGACTCCTTGTCATAGACCCCCTCCAAGGCGTACACGAACCCCTTCCACCCGTCGCCGACGCCGTCCCTGGCCAACGCCGGCGCGGTCCAGCTCACCAGCTCCTTGACGAAGCCGGCGTCCGGGAAGAGGGCCTCGCTGATGGGCACGATCGGCAGGAGCTGGATGCCCAGCCTGCACTCCTTCCACTCCGGCGGCGCGAACCAGAGGCCGCTGTCCCTTTTGTTGGCCCACACGACGCCGACGAGGCGGTTGTTGCTGGTGAAGTCGTCCTCGTAGATCGCGTCGCCCTCACGGATGTGCCACCATGTCTGCGCCGCCAGCATCTCGAGCGCGGTGAGCGTGGCCGCGGCGGAGACGAGGTGTTTGTCCCCGTAGCTCAGCCCGAGGAGCGCGGCGGAGTAGTAGGCGTTCACGGCCTCGCTGGTGCTCTCCTGGTTGCGCCCGTCGCCGAACTCCGTCAGGCCCCCGGCCCAGGAATGCAGCTTCCAGAGATCAAACGTCCTCAGCCTCGGGTAGCTCGCGCCGGCTCCTCGCGACAGCGTCATGAAATCGGCGACCATGGAGCAGGCCTGCGGCATGTACTCGCGCCCCCAGGCCGGGTCGATCTTGGCGAGCACAGCAATGGCGTACACGAAGTAGCCCAGGTGGTAGTGGTGGTCGTTGTAGACCCCGAAGCCGAAGTCGGCGCCGGTGTCCGTCATCCCCTGCCGAGTGACGAGGCCGCCCCACTTGGGATCGTACAGGAAGCCATTGCCCTCGAAGCTGCCGTCCAGCCAGGGCGTGACGGTGGCATTCAGGAACCGGTGCACCGCCGGGATGACGTCGGGGCACCCGACCTCCTCGGCGATCAACGCCAGCCTCGCGGCCCTGGCGACCGCCTTGCCGTAGAAGTAGGACGAGGTGGTCGTGATGGGGCTGGAGGCGAGCTCATCCACGTCCTTGCGCAGCGCGGCCACGATCTCGGGCACCCCGTCCTCGCTGATGCCCCGGGTGGAATGCCAGGTGGGGAACACCGGGTCGGTCCTCAGAGCCCAGGCGTCGCCGACGACGCCGACCAGGTCGCCGTCGATGCTGCGGTACCTGAAGTCGTCGAGCACCCGGACGCGGCTGTCCTTGGAGAGCAGCCGGAGGTGGAGCGGGTGGGCGAGCATGAGCAGGTCCCCCGACCCCTGCGTGCACCAGGCGTAGTCGACGGAGAAGGGGCGGTCCAGCGCGGCCACCCCGGCCGTCGGGTAGCGGCCGCTGTACCGGTCGAGCACGGCCTCCATGGCCGCGTCGGGCAGGAACGCGACGCGGATGACGCCAAGGAAGCCGGGCGCCGCGAGCCGCGTGACGCTGGACATGGACAGGCGGATCGGCGCGGAGGCGTAGAGGAGGAAGGTCTGGCCGCTGTTCATCCGGAGGCGCCACCTGGTGAGCGAGTCGTCGCGGGGGGCGGCCTCGAGGAAGGCGTGGACGGAGGCGATGGAGATGTCGACGGGGCAACGGGCGCACATGGTGGAGACGGTGACGAAGGGGCTGCCGCGGACGAGGAACGCGCGCAGCGACCGGGAGAAGTCGAGGGTGACGGAGAGGTCGTCGAAGGCGGCGATGTGGTGGCGCCATCCGGCCCCGGCCGCGGTGTCGGCGTCGGACGGGGAGGAGAGGGTGAGGTCGGCGACGAAGGCCTGGGCGTGGAAGGACGGGGAGTGGACGCTCTTGGGGTAGCACACCTTGAGCCCCCCCGCGGCGGACTTGACCAGGTAGGGGTGGATGTACTCGGGCTGGTCCCCGTCGTTGAGCGCGAAGTTCTGGAAGAAGGAGCTGGTGGGGAGCGGCGCGGCGAGGAGGTGCGGGGCGAAGAAGCGGGCCGGGTCCGGGAGCACCGCCGACTCCGCCCGCGGGAACACGGAGGCCCCCGGGGACGGCGTCGGCGTCGGCGTGGGGGCGGGGCTGCGCGTGGACTGCCAGAAGAGGAACGCGGCGAGCGCCACCGCGACGTACGTGGCGACCTGCGCCATCTTCCTCCTCTCCATCCTCTCCGGCGCGTTTCGAGGGGGGCGGCTCCCTCTGCCGCGGCTTTAATAGGCGCCGAGCCGATCTACCTCCCCGCGGCGGAGTGCGGTTTGGGCACGGCGGCCACGGATGGATGGAATGGGGATTCGATGGGGTTCAGAGATTTTGGTAACGCGGCAGCCTCTTGGTAAACCCCCAAAAGTCGTCCTGCTAGAATTTGCCTTCATAAATTTGGGTAGTTGTTCCCTCGTTTTCCCTATTTTGGCTTTGACAAATTTTGGTACTAGGAGTATTTCCCTTGCTTTCCCTATTGTGGCTTGACAAATTTTTCTCCAGGTTATTATTAGTAGTGACGCAAATCTCTCTCGATTCAAACAAAAGAACAGTCGTTCATATGATTATTACAAGGATTACAACGATGACGAAACCAGCGATCAGAGTACAAAGTATTCGTACAAACAAACAATATGGACTCACGCTGTCAGCAATATCAACATGGTAATAATTCTCCCCTGGCCAAGACAGGCCAGTAGCAGCATTTCTACAATGATATTATTCACTTGTAGCAGCAGGTTTACATATACAATGGCAAGACAAACTTTTACAAGAGTAATTTGCACCGAGAGGGTTTAAGCAACTGCTCGACTCCCAGGTGCAATAGCAAACTCTGAGTTGGCATGACAGCATTGTGCCGACGCTTTATGCAACGATTTCCTTCTCTTCCAACTACCCATTTTCTTACATCAAGAAAACTTCCTTCCCTCCGTTCCAACGCTTTCAAGGGATAGGTTACAGGTATGCATTTTCAGGTACCAATATAATTCAGGCGCACGCGGCCCTCTTTTAGGGGTTCTCCAGCAAAGCCTTCTGTGGGAGCAATTGTTGACAGGATTGGGTGCGCCCTCATTGCAATAGCCCGCTTCTCTTCCCCCAGCCCATGGCTATTACATACAGGATCGTGCACCCAGCAATGGTGCCGAAAGTGGTTTCCCAAAACTTAACATGTGCTGCTCGCGTCTGCTCCTCGCCTACGGGATTGTAAAGAGAGATGCCAATGTTCATCCCGAAAAGACCAACGACAGCCACTCCGGCAGTAATGACAACCGTCGCGGTCGAGAGCATGACCCCCATCTGTAGAAGCTGATTCTGCTTGTCGTCCAACATTATGTTGATGTAATCCTCGGTGTCATCAACATACTCCCTCAGCTTCAAGCAAGGATACAACAAATATAAGCTTAGGCCTCCTTTGGTTTGCAGGAATTTCATAGGAATTTCATAGGATAGGATTCTTATAAGATTTTTTCCTTTAGAGCCCTTTGGTTCATAGGAATAGATTCCTATTCCTACATAGGATTGGTTCCTATCCTCCACATTTCATAGGAAAATAAAAAAGAACCTAGACTCAATGGAAAAATTCCTTTGATGTCAACTAAATGACATCTCCTTTCCTATTCCTACTCGTAGGATTTGACATACATGCCATCTCATTTCCTACAAAATTCCTATTCCTACGATAATCCTATCCTATGAACCAAAAGAGGCCTAAGAGTTTGGTTTACAATTCTACTACATAAAACTCCCTACGCTAATGTCTCAAGGTTAGAAAGAATATTGCTGACAGAAAATGGCACATAAGATAAATCATTCTAGAGAACCCACAGTAAAATCAATCGAGGGTAGAATGGACTCAAGCAAAACACAAAACACTATATTCTCATATTAGCTTGTTCAAAGGGGTCATTTCAGTAAACTGGGCAAGATGATTTCTTCTTTTATTGAGTGAAGCATAGCATTTTATAAGTTTCGCCTTAACTTTGTTTTCTTATACACTAACAGAACAGCATTTTACATTCTTAAATACCACGTATAGCATTATAAAATTTACAATCCTGCTCTCAAGTTCTTTTACCTGCTAAGAAAATACTTCATGTTAACAATAAATAAGTGGGCAGGATCTCAGCAATATTTGGAATGGTGCAAGTAACATGAGAAGGAGAAAAACAGAGAGAGAAGAACGCTTACATGCGAAAGCTTATTTAGTGTACCGTCAATTTGCACAAAGTAGGCCTCTAAAAGCATCTCCAGTTCTTCAATGTTGGGCTTATAACCAATAGAGCTGCCATTGCTTGCAGTTCCAGCTGGCTCGCTTCGATAATCCTCATCCCTACACACAAATGAAATGATTCCACACATTTAACATATTGATGCATGCATATAGATGCATACGACTAGTAAGGACTATTTTATGGTCTACGGAAATAGCAGATACGAATCCATCTATAAGAAGAAAGTAGAGATGTCTCGCTTTGATGACTTACATATCCTCCTCCAACTGAGATGGGTCATGATCATGATCATGATCATCAACCTCAACTCTAGATGAAGTCTCACTGATATCTTCTCGAGCAAGTTTTTCTGTCAAGTACATTTCGGCCATATCCATTTCATCGTCCAATAGATGCTCAAGCTCATCCCTCACCTATCAGAATGTATATATTTTTATCAAGGTGGAATTATTCTGCGGAATCTAGAAGGGAAAGGAGTGCAGAAGATTTAAGCGAATAGACTTTTGCGAGGACATTATAGCAGGGATAATAGATATAGAGGTAGGTGGTGGCCGGATGTGTTGTATACTTGTATGGTGAAGGTTTGGATGGTTTGGCAAAGTTCTTTCACATAGTTACAGAGGTCGCACAAACACTGATCATTCAAAAGTAGCCAGCAGAATGAAACAACAAATTGTGTTTGACAACACCTACCTAAGATATAGCGGCAGTAGAAATTGAAGAGAGGATGGACATTGATATTATATTGAATCCTCAAACAAGTTAAATTGCGTACCTTCTGCACGCGTCCAGAGATTGCCACCAGCCGGCTCTTAATTTGCCTAACTCGCTCAAGATTCAGGGTACTGATCTTTGAAGTTAGCTCATCCAATGCTGGATATGCCTCTTTCTCCAGAGTCACAGTCTGGGAAAAAAAAGATCAGTTACTATCTAAAACTACAAGTGCACCATGTTCTGCCTACTTGTGAGAACTGAGATGTACTGCTATCTCAAAAGTAGTTTGTAAACTTGACCATATATTAAAATAAAACAGAGAACAGTCAAAAGACTACGCCAGACAGACCAGCTTAAGAACAGCTTCTACACTAAGCATGATTCCATCTATCAATAATAAAATAAAAACCGGACTTTCCCAGGTTTTCTGAGAAAGACGGGATTATCAAACTTCTATAAATTGCTCCAACCAGGCTTCAAGTTTATCCAATAAGCAGAGGTGAAGAAATCGGCCAACATCATATGTAATAACAAAGGCCCAATATCAAACAAGTCATAATGTAATATGAACCATAGCTTGTTGAAACAACTATCCTAAGATGGCAAATAGATTAATCCAGTTGTATTAAAATATCTTGAATAATCTTCACAAATAAGATGAAGCACATACCTCCTCTTCCAGAGATCTACAAGCTGACTCGAGACACACTTCAAGCGCACGGAATTCAAAGGGTAAAACCTTGGTGCTTCCATCTTTCATAGCAGTCAATGTGGGCACACTGCTGCTGTGAGTCATTTCACCCACCGCATTAGGAGTCCTCTTAGCCATCTCCAGTTCATGTCCTTTAGATGAACTAGGAGCAGGAAATGGTGAAGCAATTGCAGATGATTCACCATCCATATCAGTAAACTCTGCAGCCTGTTAAAATAAGAAATGTCACATATCCCTCACAGTATCGCCATAGCTACATAGCAGCAGACGCAAGTGGAATAGCCTACAGAGTCAGAATTCAAGAACAGTTTGAGATCAAACTGTGCAAACCATAGTTCCTTTTTTAACTAGCTCAGCAGCTCCCTCTAGAAAGATGAAGGAATGTGGACTACACAGCTTGCTGTTGGTATTCAAGGTTTTCACTTGAAACTGTTTCTGAACAGCCTTAGCTTGTACTTTTCAGAAAAACCTATTTGATCTGATCACCCATGTCTTCTTACATGCATCCAATCAGTAAAGTGCAAAATTTCGCATGGCAGCAGAACATATATTGTACCAATTGTATGAAGGTCTGATGCTGCTTTTGGCAAATGTCCAGTTCAGTTCACCAGCAATTTCTCAAAACATGACAACAAACAAATTAACTTGTATTCTTGGCACTGTATGCTGTTTAGACAAGTCTTAAGACATGGGTGGGGTGATTGAACAAATCTACTCGACAACAGGGGCAGCACCAGCACAACTGGCCAATTGCAGTGTTGAGAAACCATGAAAAACATCTGATCCCACACGACACAGCAAAGTTATAGATCTGTCAATAGTTACTACCACTAGCAACATTCAGGTCCTAATCCAGATGTTATGTTTCTACTTTTCAGTGTAATATAAGATTATATATGACTCAAAATCTTATACTAGTACAACTGTTTCCACTTAACTGTAATATCCACCTACAGTTCAGAATATTGTGCAATGGTTACTTTACTAGCCTAAATCACAAGCCTAGAAGCAAGCAAATGGTGAATCGACAGAAAGGTAGTGGTTCAAGCAAGACCTGGTCCGCGGAGTAAGCGAGCACGCGGGCCTGGAGGTCGCGGACGAAGCGCGCGAAGTCGGGGTCCTTGGAGTTGGGGAGCAGCACCTCGGCGGCGGTGATGACGGCCTTGACGCGCTCGAGGTTGACGACGATGGCGCGCTCGCGGCCGAGGATCGTGGACGGGTAGGACAGCAGCGGGTCGAGCACCCTCAGGTCCCGCGCCGGCAGCCCCGTACGCGCCATCACCGCGTGCTTCCCGGCCTCCTCCACCCGCGCCCGCCCCGACGCCGGCACCACCAGCCACTCCCGGCTCGCCGCCGCCGCGGCGGCGGCCGCCCCCGCCTTCCGCCTCACCACGCCGCCGCCCGGCCCCGTCGCTGTGGGCCTCATCCTCTGCTCCCGGAGCTAGGGTTTCGACTGCGATCGTCGGCGGGAGCTGGAGCTGGAGGTATGCGTGGTCGGCTGCGGCGAGATGCGGGTTTCCGACTGAAA